TACATCTGATTAAGCCATATGAGGCTCTGCTGTGTTGGAAGACAAAAGAAAAAATATTTTCCCCCCTCAGATACCATTACATACAGCATTTTTTTTCTCATAGAATGGAATTGCATGAAGTTAGTATATATAAAACATTAGAAATGTTGGTGATGATGTGGAGAAAGTAAGAAGAATTGAAATTGTAAGATATACAAGCATCTTTGCTCCAATTGTGCAAAGGCTACATCACAGTTCTGTGATCACAGTTCAATAAAAAAATAAATAGTAAATAGATAGCGAACATATGTAAGAACTCAATTTTTTCCACCTGAATTGCCAACTATAATCCTTGACCTTTTCTCATTAGATTTCTGGAAATAAAAGTCTGCTTTTCAGTGTATCTCAGGCTTTACTCTTACAGACAACCTAGATATGATACAGAAGATCCGGAAGAATTTTGTGCAGGCACATTTGCAGAAACATGACCCAATCTGTGCCTAGAATAGGATACTTTTACATTTTTGCAAATCTTGCAATAGACTCTGTTTACCCAATAGCTGTATGAGGGTTCTTTCTCCAAACAATTACCTGTGAATTAGTAGTACCTGTAACAAACCCAAATTATGATACATGCAACATGCAAATGTCATCTGATGCAAATGTATTAAGTCATGGCACTTACACTGATGACATTACCCTCCCAAGAACTTCCTCATGAATTTAGAGGGTTCTCTGAGGCTATCCTGTCAAATGTAAGTAAATAGGTAAGAGGTGTAATTAGCTGCAAAAATCCAATATAGGAGACTTAGATTGGAAACGGGTTGTCACTTCTGAAGGGCTGCTGGCTTGATGAATGTTAATTTGTTTTGTAATACCTAAATAAGATTTCACTCTTTTTCCCTTTTTCCTATTTAGTTACCTTTCCTCTTGATTCATCTCCATCCAGTTTTGCTTCCTCCTCCCTTCCTTTCCTCTCACTCATTTCCATCCTGTCTGCCCGCCCTTCCTTTTTTCCTCTCATTCTCCTCCTCCTCCTTCCCCATCTTCTTCTTTTTGTTGTTTCTGCTGGAACGAGGGAGTGGAAGTGGTGCATATGCTTTCAATGTTTGAAGGAGAATGATTGGTATTGGCAGGCAGAGATTAAATAATGTATCTTACTTTACTGGCAATTAATTATAGTAAGTAATTATTAATTTTGTCAAGGCCCTGTCCTTTGGAATATAGCTTCTGGGAGATACATTTACATACATGGATGTATGGATATACAGATGGGTCATACTTGTTGCTGAGATGAAAATCTCTAGGATTGCATTTAGTTGGAGCTGGCAGATGGGGAAGCTGGGCATTGCACAGAATTTTTTCTCTGGTGTGTTTTCACATGCCCATGTGTATGTATATTTACTGGGTCTTTGGAGGTGGAGACTGTCGTCTTTCAAGTAAACATGGTAGTTCTGAGCTTAGAAACATTGTCAAATATATACAAAATGCTTCTTGTAGGTTAAAATAATCATATAGAAATGTGTGTTTTGTGGACAAAACATAGAAAAAATGCAGTTAGGTTGGAATGAAATATTATACCAAAAATTTATGATGAACTAACAAATTAATGTAGCCATTTCTGACTATATATGTTTGAATTCTCTGGAATGTGTATGAAAGGGAAAAGGACTTGCGTTTATAGATCTTCCACATTACATTTAATTTGTCCTTTGTACCTGTGAGTTCTTTTCAAGTATAATGCTGTTTCTTTAGTCATTGGATGACAGATGTTTCACCTTTTCCAATTTTGCCTAATGCTACTCTCAATAGGCAAAGAAGATGCTTAAAAGTATGCTTAAATCCTTTTTTGGACATTAATGACGTAGACCATACTAATTAACTTAGGGTCAAATACTTTATAAGAATTAAGGATAGTAAAGAAGCAGAAAATGCCCATTTAAGAAACATATTGTTCTGCTTCATTAAGAAATTAATTTTGCAATCCTGAAAGCATGTTTAACACTTGAAATTGAAGGCTTAGTCTTCTTCTGTTAGTATATTGATTTGTTCTGTTTTACTATTGCCTTTGTGTAGCATTGTACTGTTCCTCCTTTGTCTGGTGCTAATATAGTTGTCATACTCCGTGTTCTCATCTTCTAGTGTTTACTTGTTGTGAAAACTGCTGCTTGAAGGCAAACACAGCAAAATGTAATCATAACTACCTTGTGTATCTCTTGGGGAGGGTATGAGTAGTATGTAGTTTTTAATTTTGTGAAGTGTGTTGTGAGCTTGGAATAACTAATTTCCCTGTTGCCTTGTAAAAGATTCACCTTGTGTTTGATATTCAGGGTATTTTTTTTTTATTAGAAGACAATGCATTGTTGTATAAACAGTTCTGAATGCCAAGCTAGTTCACTTCTGTAATAAGAATTCTGCTTCCACAATATATGATCTGCCTTCTTTGGGCTGCAAAGCTAAAACATGTGATTGTAGAACATATTAAGGGAAAAAAGAAACAACAGTGGGCAAGTATCAGAAATGCACATATACTTTTTTAATCCCAATTTCTTAACAGGTAGCAGCAACAGGCTATAAATTTTTGGATTGATGGCCTCTTGCAGAAATTGGAAGAAACTAAGATACTGATTGAGTCAACATCTATACCTAAATATTTGTCCCCTAGTGATGGAAGTAGTTGATCTGACTTCTTTGGGAAAGCAGATAAAATGCCTTCCTATAATTATCTGAACTACCACATATGCAATTTATTTTCTGCTATTATGTATGCTCAGTATTGGCAAAGTTTTTTTAAAATTAGTTATTGGGTAATTAAATTTGGATAGAACCTTTTGTAAGTTCAAACAAGAAAAATCTCTTGAATTCATTTACTTACCAATGCAGATATTTAGTTCAGTCTGATTATTGTATCATGATAGGTAAGGGGATTTACATCAATTTCCTGATTTGTACATGAGAACTATGCCACCAATTTGATATACATTTGTTTTTATAGATTTATATTCTAAAAGAAGTCTCATAATATAAATTCCTTCTTGCACTATAAGAAATTTCCCAGTGATGTGTACCTATTAAGAAACTTGTCACATGGTATGGTGGGGAAAGTAGTTATACAGTATATATAGGAAGCAACTCTGAATTTAAGATGATCAATCTGAAAGGAAGATTATTACAGGAAAAAAAAATCAGCTGCCTACATTACTATATTTTTCGTGATTCTAAGATGATCCTGCAATTTTAAAAATAAATTATTTGTGGGGGAAAAATAAGCTTCCTTTTATTGTTTCTTCTAGCTGCAGTAATATACCATCAGAATGTGGCTTAACTTTGCTGTCATTAACTTTTCCTTTGTGAAAAAATATTTCTTTTGTTCAAATGTGAGAAATTGAAAGTCTGCAGATGTGTATTGTCATTGTACATCGTATGACCTGTGACATCAAATGTCAAGGACCAGAAGCAAATAGAATTGGAATTACTGGTTCAAATGGTTTTATTTATTCTATTGTGTTTATTTGGCCACAATATTATGATTTATAGAATAATTTGTATGCACTGGTGCTCTGCAGTAAATTGTCCTGAGCTACTTCTTTTTTTTTTTTTACATTTTATTATTGCTATCTAGAATCATGTCTGTTTACATTGTACGTAGAACTTAATCATGATTAATACTTGTATAAGTATTGAAATGACTACTCAACTTTGAACCATGCAACTGAAAAGGTGATCATTTATAGCTTATTAGATGACCAATCCTGTTTTTAAAATCTTCCAAAATCTGCTACGTCTAATGGGAGAGCTCAGTTTCCACATATGCCATCTCCAATGCTTATTCAGACTAACTGTAGTAATATATTTATTTATTTGTTATATTAATGTCCCACAACAGTCCAATTAAGTACTTTCAGCTTCTTAAAAGTATTATTATTGTTATTGTTGTTGCTGTTGTTTGATCGGATTGCATTGTAGATTATATGATGATACCAAGGGAATGCCTGTGCAGGGGATAAGTATCCCCCCCCCCTTAGGTTCGCCTCTTTCTCTGGTCCACACAATCAGTGACGTAACAACTATTTCATTTTACCAGAATGATCTTCCATTTGTCAAGTGCAGTTGGCAACATTGCTGAATGTATCTTCAAGATCGTTTTATCCTCCACAAAGTGACAAATTAACTACTATGCACTATGACTAGTACCATTTTTTGTCTGTTCACATGGGACATTTCCAGTCTGTCTTATAAATCAAACTGCCTTTTAAACAGGAGGGATTATATAAAGAGGTGACATTATGCTAGTCAGTAAATTGATTCCAGGTTGGTAACTGCTGAAAAGTAAGAATAGATGTAATAAAATCTATCCTGTTTCACAGTAGTTGTAGCATAGAATAACTGTTAGTAATGCAAAAGCCATTCAAATAGAAGACTTGGATTTTAAAAAAAAAAATTGCAAGAGTGAGAAATTCTAAACATCCAGTGTTCTGTTATTCTGAGATGTGTTTTACAGATGAATAACCACCATGTCATGAATTACTTTCAGATTTGGCAAATTATTCCCTAAACCATTTATAATAGAAAGTATTGTTAGCTCAGAAAAGTTTCTGACTCTGTGTGCTCGTTTGTCCAGTTTTTTCAACCAAAGTTTTAATAATATCTGATTAAATCTCAGTTAGGATTTCACTCAAGAATGTGTTGAAACTATCAGTATGTAATTATTCTGCATACTCCCCATTTCCTATTGATTTTGTTTTCATGCATTGTCAAAACGTGCTGTTAATTTGCTCTAAAGCTTTGTATATGCTAACTCGGCAATAAGCACTGCTGAGTACGGGGAAACTGCAGAGGTGCACACTGTCCTGTGATGCTTTGTTATGTCTGCATCTAACCAACTATGGTGCAGCCCTTCATTTTAAAAAAAAACTTGAAATAGTCTGTAGGATATTAACAGCATAATCCCTTGTTTACTGCATAATGTTTGTCTACTGTTTGCTTGCTGCTTATGACTGTGATTCCTTTGCTCTTCTCAGATTACACACTGACTGTAGAGGCTGTGAAGCTGAAACCATTCTTCATGGCAGGGCACACATTTGAAATGACATGCAAGGTGTCATCCCAGAATATCAAGACTCCTCGTTACTCAGTCCTCATTACAGCAGTGAAGCCTCTGAGTGATCAGACCAGACCGAATGGGACTACTCGTATCATTTCTCTCAATCAAGATTCAGTGGTTAGACGGGAAGACTGGACAGATCAGCACCGGGTGGATGGTGTAGTCTTGGAAAAGGTCCAGGAAAATGAGTTCCGCTACAGGATGTACCAGACTCAGATTTCCGATGCCGGACTATATCGCTGTGAGGTGACTGCATGGTCGCCGGGGGGTGGAGGCAGATGGCAAAAGGCAGTTGATGGTTTCTCCAATCCTATCCAGATAGACTTCCAGACTTCAGGTCAGTACAAGCCCAGTATGGTGAACAGTTTGGAAAATATGCCTATATCTTTGTTGTTTTACTACCATTAAAGATAGGATGGGGAGTTCTATGAGAGCTCTAACTCAGAACTTTGACAATAGTTCTGTCCCAGAATTTTGTCAAATGTTACTTGAACATTACTGATGCATTCTGGAGCTATATGGGGAAATGTCAGTGTGTGAATTTGATGTGATACTTTTAATTCCTCTTCCACCAGAATTGCCTGATGGGAGCAACATACCCTGTTCTTTCAGGAGTATCTACAATGTTCATTGCAGCTGTAGCTATCAGCAAGTACTCCTATCCAACTGCTGATAAGGTCATTCAGAATGAAATAACTATGCATAGCTTTGATTTAACTGCAGGTGCTTATCTTTGCTAACTTCCTTTTCTACTAAACTCCGAGAGATTCATTTATCTCCCAGAAATTGTGGAAAAGCCTGTAGATTTTTCTGGTGACTAATGGCACAATTTATAGATACTGACCATTACTCATCACTTGTGCCTGTATCACTTCCCATTCCAAACTACAACATCACTTTTGTATGAAGAGCTGATAATGGTGATACTTTTAAAAATTGCATTTTACCTATGGAAAGAAATAGAGATCACATGCAAACTGAATTTATCCATGCTGTGTATGGGAAAATAGGCATTGATCATGCCTTCAAAAATATTATTTGTGCTAGGTGTACTGTGAGATTTAAGGGAGGAAAGATGTAAGTTTCCCATACAGTAGCAAAATGGCAAGCAGTGTCTTAATTGCAGTAGAATTTTAGCAAGCATTGGAAGTTCAGAGCCATAAACTTTCAGCTGTGAAAATAGGATACAAAAATGTCTCCATTTTCTCCTTCCTTTGTTACTTCCAGCCTAAGACATCCTCCTTTTGTTTAATGAAGCAGCTTTCCTGCCTGCTGTTTTACCTTCTCTCAGATGTGTGGGTCACTGTAGGCCTGGAGGCAAGTAAAAGCTATCTAACGTAACACGCAACACTAAAGTCTGGTATTTAGACTTTAGTAGTAATAAACACCCCTTCATGGATCATTGCCTTGTCGTGGCGAAGGGGCTTGCATAACTCAG